CTTCATCAGTGCAGAAACAGCATAACCCTTCAAAGAGAACAGAAAACCATTTATCCTCTTTCAGGCGGTAGATATACAAGTAACAACTGGACAGAATTTACGGTAAGCAGTAACCTAATCACTCTCACGTACATGGAATAGTAAATAATCCTGACCAGACATCTACGGGATAATTAATATTTTGATTTTATACATTTTAGGTAGGCGAGTTAGCATCCAATGGGTTAGCCATATTTGCATGAAATTCAGTCTCCACCATTTCTTCCTAATAAAACTGACTTCAGAAGATCTAAAAGAGAAGTCCAAGTGTTACAGGAAGCTACAGCGTAAACAGAATTAATTGGCTCAGACACCTAAGCACGCAAAGGTTTGCTCAGGATAATATTTGATTGCTGAGGAGCTACCTTAACAGTTTCATCGCTTGAGTATGCGTCTGCCACATCGCACAGCTTCCCACTAATATAGGAGGCAGAATACTTCCCGTCAGCTGTGCCGTACTCTCCCAAGACCCAAGAAATGACCTAAAGTTCAATCCAAAAGTAAGATTCCATATGAATAAAACATGGTACGTGGAGAAGTCTGAAAACAAAACCTACCTGAAGAAACAGGGATGGAAGCTTTGGCTCGCTAATAATCTTCAAGTACGATTCCACCTGCATCAAGAAAAGCACACTCTTAAGCAAAATACAGAAACAGAACCAACAAAAAAGAACTAAAAGTAAGAAAGAATATCAAAGTTACTCAATCCTTATTTTAAGATTGCAATTTCAGATATCAACTTATATTTCTCTGTTAAAAGGGATTCCATATACAACCAAAACTAGAACTACCAATCTCATTGCACATAAAAGCAGAAAATAAAAGTAATGAACAACATACAGCTGATAATCTAAGCTTGCTGTCTGCATCATCATCGTCCTCTCCAAATCCTTCAGCAATCAAACGCATCAAATTATGTGCCACCTTAATGTTTACCAGATCTCCCGCATGCTCGAAGACTTTATTCATGGTCTGCAGTATGTAGAAAACTAAATTTCTGCCAACCGATACGAGAGAATTATAAGTACACAATATACAGGGGAGGTTGGCTTGCTACCTGTATGAACCATTGATTGCTTGGAGCAAATTGTTCCGCCAACTCAACACAACGAGATGCTATCTCAGTTTTGTAATGATTGTCATTAATACTGATCATGTAATCAATCATTCGGTCAACAATCACTTCAACGTTAGAGGACTTGGTCATTTTGTACAACAATTCAAATGTCTTCCTCTTTAGTGTATCATCTGGATCCTGTCAGAAAGTAGCAGTGAAACAAACATCAGGAAAGGAAACAAACAATGTGTTCACATGAAGAGAAAAAAACAACTTTTAAAAAGTTTCCCTAGTGACTGCTCACCTCCAAACAATCTATCACAGCAAGTTGATGCTGCTCAGCAATGTCTGGACTTATTTTTATCAATCGACCAAGACCATCAATCCCCATGTACTTCAGATTGTGACTATCACTCTGCCAATAATCATCTCCGGATTTAAGACACAATCATCAGATTAACAACAGGAGTTAGCAGCATACATGTCAGAAAGACAAACCTTCAAAAACTTGGAGATAGCATCAGCAGCAGCTTCTAAAAGCTTGGGACTTGGAAGTATACTAGAAATACAGCGAATACACTCATAAAGTATCGCATTTCCTATATTGGTCGAGGAATCACACTTTCTGAACAAATCTCCAAGCACCATGTACATAATTTCACTAGCACTCTTATCACCACTTCCCAACAACGCCATTATCTTCAGCAACTTGATCTAAAAAACAATTTTTTTGACAAAAGATTTATCACCAATTGTAAAACCTGAGATCAATAAACCGAAAACAAAAGCGAAGACCGAACCTGGATAAAGGGTGCAGGCATTTGATGGTAATCGTAACTCTTTGGCAATCTTCTCTCAGTGACCTGTTTGAGTATACTCACAAAACTACTAACCAAATCCTTGTAGGTAGTAACATCTTCACTAATGAGATCAAACAATGGACAAAGCGTAGCTCCCATAACTCCAGGATCGTTATCACATAACCTCTTTCTGAAATTAGAGATCAAATGCGAAACCGAAGAAGGAGACTTTCGATGAAACCTATGCAAAGCCATAATCGCTTTCTTCCTCACAGCTTCCTTTTGATGATTAAGCAGATCCACCACCTGAGGTAAAACCGCCGGAATCGTCTCTTCGTTAATCAATCTACAGATTGCATTAAGTGCAGCACAAACAACGAGAAAGTTATCGGATCTGAGATCTTTCTGGATTGTGTTAACAATAAGGATAATGAGATCATGATCTTCATTGAGAAAGAGCGTCACTGCTAAGTAACCAGTACGCTTGAGAAGCAGATTATCGTCATGAGTCATCTTCACGGCATGAATGTAACCAAAGGAAGCATCATGGCCAAGCATCTCGATGTAGACGAGCCGTATAATGTACTCTTTCATTTTCCTCTTGGGTACATCTGGTTCCAACAATCTCCGTTTCAGTATCTCGATCTCGCTTAATACGATCCGATCTTCTTCAGCTTTAGATCGTGCTTCACCGATTGATTTGACCAGATCGAGAAACTCTTTCGACTGACCAAATCCACCTTGCGATCCCATCGCTAGCTCTCTTCCAATTGTCTTCAGCTGCTCCATTTCTGTAGCTCTCCAAATCCCTAGAATCAAAACACCCGACCAGTGAAAATTTCTTCCGATTTGACGATTGGATTAGGGTTCGTACTTCCGATCAGAAATCGGAATCATGCGGAAATTTCTTCCTCCGTGATCGGAATCAATGGAGTTTTTTCAGATCTGAGAGAAGAAATCAAAATCGGAGAAGATGAAAAACGTGAAGAGATTTGGTTTAGCTCTTCTCTAAAGCCACAAGGCGGTCCCTGATAAGAAAACCAACACGCGTGTACGATCAAATGTTGGTACAACAACAGTGAAATTTGTAGGAGTTTAAACCGGGATTTCGGTTAAAAGGTGAATTTTCAATTAAGAATATGGTTTAGTTTTTGTAATGATTCTTTTCTGGTTCAGTTAGCATTGGTTTTTGTTTGGTTTAAAGGCTTTTCTGATTTTGGATTTTCCGGTTTTTGTGAATGATATATTTGCGATTTTGAAAATTATATGACGAGTAAGGGGTTGATTGGTTCACCAGCTACCACCCGCAAATGCTGCGTTTGCGGGCGGTAGCGGTTGTTGGTGTTTGACAACAATCATGAGAAATGCCTTATACCGTTCCGTGTCGCTTTAAACATCTCAAATCCAAAAACTCTTTCCCTCGAGTGATTACAGTTGCGGACGGTTGATTGATTTTTCTTTTTATCACTTTTTATCA